TGGTACATCTCCCTACATATAATAATAGTATACATAAATAAAATAGTGAAAGATCATCCAATTGTTTTGATCTTTTATTTCTTAAAACTAAGCTAATAAATGTTTTTATGTGAATAAGAGTAACTAAAAATTACTCACAGTCCAATAGATTGTAAATCTCGTGACACTATCACCGTATAATCTTGGATGTACCTAAAATTAAAAAATATTAACATATAGTTAAGTATTTGTGTAAAAACGTATTTACAGAATACATAATCTTTAACAAGTAATTGATAGTATTGACTTACTGCCCAACCAGCTTGTATACTATTGAGTTGAGCTCGAGGTCCATTCTCTAACCATATTTGACTTTTACTGTATTGATTATTTTGCAATTTAAGATCATGAACACTTATTTCAGCTTCAGTTCCCCGATAGATACTTCCATCTAACGTAGTCTCAATTGTTGCAAACTGTAAATTTCATCAATATCGTTTAATTTTCATCGATAATATATATATATATATATACATGGATAACAATCGGAAATTTGGTTTTCTCTTTTAGTTTGCATATATAATGAATATATTATCAGAATGTCTTAATAATCAAATGAGATTTTGTGACTCTTTGCAAAAATAAAAATTAGAGGAAGACATACATGTTGACCAGAATACTCGGCTGTATTCAGATGAACGCTTTGAGATTCATTTCCTTGTCTTAAAATTGGAACTGTTCCTTTTGGACAATGCTCTTTGGTTTTATATTTGTTGCTTCTTTCAATATTTCCATCTAGGCTGAATGTTTCCTATGTTATATCACAAGTAATAAAGGAAAAATAAGATTCATCAGTATTGATGTTTCTAGAAGTCCTAGTTTCATATTTGATTGACCACATATAGTTTATTCACGTTTTATAAATTTATAAACTAAAACTGACTTATTCAGGCAAAGTTTTCTTAGATGAAATTATTGACTTATCACGTTTTAGGAAAACTTATCCTTAACTATAATGAAATTATTGTATAAATAGAATAAATTAAATCCTTGTAAAATTTAAAATATACTTATTATAATAAAAAAATTTAAACTCTATTTTTTATAAAATGAATAGAATATCCGAGATTTGATTCGATATGAGAAATTTAGATATTTTATTATGGACTGAATCAAATCAGATCTTGAATATTTTGTCCAATGATATATGTTACATTACCTGAATCTTGTGATTTTTTAACAATGGATGTTTGAAAGCCGGTTGTTTGTATATCTCAACACAATCAAAATCCTGTCAAATTTGTTGAACACAAAAATTAAAGAGTAATTCTATAAATAAAAATGAAAAATCTTTAGAGGATAGAACAAATAAACATAAGCTAGGGTCTCACATCAATGTTTCCCTGTGCACCTTGTGTAAACAGCAGATATACACATAGACCTAACGCTAGATGTAATGCCATTGATAAGTTATTTTTAGTTTCTACAATTATATCGCTCATACTTCTCAGTATAAATAAACCAATTCTAGTCAAAGACTATTATATTAAAACTATTTATATTCATATATTAGCTGTATTTTTAATGTTTTACCAAAAATAACATGCAAATATTTTTTTGGTCAACGTTCAAGTGTATAGAAAGGGAAACATGGCTAAATGGCTTTTAGTATCCCTTATATAAAAATAACATACCGAACTTTTCAAAGATTATCAATATACATCTTTACGTACCTTTGAACAAAGAGATTGCTACCTAAATAACTTAAAAATAGCCAAAATAGTCAAAATAATCCACCAAAAATAACATATTTAAATATCTTTTGCCACATTATTTATTTACTTCTTTTGCCACTAGTTATTAAAGATAATGATTTAGTTTAAAAATATTAATAAAAGTGCTAATTTTATTGTATTCGATATATATATTCAAAAAGAAAATCAAAGCGTTAAAAAGAAATTGTCTTTCTTGTGATTTATTTTTTTTGGATTTCATCTTTATAATAATGGATTCTGTGATCGAATGCCACTAGACAGAATCTCTCAAGCAAAGGACCGTAGGCGCGCAGCAAAATTATAGTTAATGAGATGGTTTATGAGATGGCGGTTACCCCCGTTGGGAACAGATTCCGATCTCCACGTGTCTGATAATGATTGGTTACAGAGATATGCTTTCATCTAAACCAGATATCCTCCTAACCGTACGATAAAAATCGGCGTCGTCGTTAGACTTACTTACGGAATCGGTAAGTAGATTTTATATTTTACGGTTACAGTTTACTCTTAATTTCAAAATCCAGGAGCTTAATTTACCAAATAATTCTGTTTTTCACTCCTCTCATATGTGAAACTTGAAATTTAACCTTTTTGTGTCATTAGTAGTTTTTGTGTGGATAAAAAGTTAAAATATATGATTGGATCATTAGGAATATATGGAGCAATGGTTGTAGCAGGAAGATTCATATGTTGAATTGATTCATCTGGTGGATTTGATCCTTCTCTTGATGCACTACTTGCTGGACTTGGCTATGCAACACCACCAATCATGGCTCTTCTCTCCGTTCTCGATGTAACCAAATATAACCTCTTAATCATCTTTGGTTGAAATATTTGAGATGATTTTATTCTTATTTGAAATTTGATACAATTTGGTTGGTATATATAATTCATCAAATCATCAAACACCACAATTTCCTCCTGGTCCTCCAAACGAAAAAGCTACTCCGGTGGATTTGGTATAACCCCAATATGTCACCCTAAAACATCTATAGGAATCAGCATAACGTCTTATTTTCCTATCTTCAACATAAACTCTTTTGTATTGTGAGTTTATAATCACGACATTATTAAAATGTGCTGTCTTTTTGAAGTCTGCAACTGGATAA